GTATTTAAACGATAATCCGAAAGTATAAAGTTACATGCAAGCGTTTGTTTGTTTCTATAACATAAACATGCCTCTTCTTATTATGGCTTTCAAACGCATTTCGTGACAGACTGCTAATTATTTAATTAACGCGATAATAAAGGTAACTGTAGCTTAAGTATCTGACTTACGTATTATTACTCCCACTACTAGCAACCGATACGTTATAAAAGTTATTAAATTTCGTGAATGAATGATAATAGTAATCATAATATAATAAGCAACTTAAATGCGTTTTTTTTTCATCATCGTACTTATGTTATTACCTACGTATTTGTTGTAGAATAATAACCGTGTTTAAGGTCATTCAAGAAAAAAAAAACAATGATGAGTAGTTTAATTATATAATAAATATCACACTGGTAGTAAAAACTGTAGTAAATATGCAGACGGAAGCTTTGTTGATGTTTTCCGTTTTATGGGTACCTAATAACGTTACAAAAAAAAAAAACTCGGGACCGAATCAATTGTATCACACCCATCGATACAGACGCAGCGGCACCTGTGCGCAATCGCGCCCACCAAATGAAACATGTGACTGTCTTTGCAAATTGTTCTTGAATTAAAGTTCACTCGGTCACTAGATCAAAGGGATTAACATGAATTAAAATATCGTTTTAAACTCGTTTTATAGCATTCTAATTGTTGCGACGAGTGATTCTATCCAGCTACTTTGCGAACGAAGCGGTCTTGTCACTCACCGTTTAGAAGGGGGTAGTTGTGTCCGGGATGTCCCAGGAAGGACTTGAGTCCGCTCTCCAGCAGGATCGGTGAACCCCGGTCCTTGTAACTCATCTCACTGTCACTGTCACTGAAGTAATACGTTGAGCGCGGAATTTTGGCGGTTTTTTCGGAACACTGCAACGGAAAAAAATGGAAAAAAAATGATAAAAACAACGACGACGCGTCGAAAAGGGCCGCCGCGATGGATCCCACCGTCAGAACAGCGTAAATAACAACGCACGAGTTGTTCTCTCTCCTTCCTCAGCTGACTCGGTCCCGAATCAATCCTTACCAAACCGGCTAAAATAAGCGACGAGGAGGCGTCCTCTCGCGACGCAGTCGGAAAGTTCCGCGTCCTCCGCCGTCGCACACAGTCCAAGGCTGATAACAGCGGACGACAGCGTCACCGATGCGGTAATAGTAGTAGTATAGTAAGTAGGAACAATTAATTTTTATCATTCGAACGCGACGCGCGGAATTACTCATTACTCCATGCTACATCACTTCCGTGACGTGTGGGCAGACGAACGTGCAGGAATGGAAACTACTTTTAATTATTATCACCTAAAAGGTGTAGAAAATCGCAATTTTAAGGTTTGCCAGTTCTGGCCTAAAAGTAGAGCAAGTAGACCGAATGCTTCAGGTGCCGGTAGCGATGGTACGCGTCCTTTTCATCACTAAATACCATTAGGATCAATACTTTTAAACCAAGCAACAAATAGGTACTGATAAGAAGTATCTCGATGGTTTGAAGACGGTCTTCAACCGTTTATTCGTCACATTTAAATGAATGAATTTTTTAGTTTTTAATAGTTGGCAATCTTAAACTTTTCATTTAGTTGTTCTATTCCATGCATTTCAAATTCGACCACATTGTTTTCAAATGTTGATACTACCACAAACACATCAAGAAATTGTCTTATGGATGGTGTGGTGAACGCCATCTATAGAAAAGGTAACACGTTCAAAATGGGCTTGATCGATGGCCCACGTTGATGTACCAGGCAAGCTAAAATATTTTGAAAATTCAAGAATATTGAAATGCACAAAAATGAAACTGTCATTCTAGAATATGTGGAGAATCCGGTTAAAGAGGACAAATGAACTCGAATTAATAATAAAAATCAAATCATTAAAAAAATATATATATAACTGACTTTTCGATTACCTTATTGACTGTAAATGAATTCAAATTTAATGTTCTCTTTCCTAATAATGCTTCATAATGTCGTATAGGTAAATACCCCAAATCGCCATGTATAATAATTATACTTGAGTATTGAAAACATTATATTCTGATTCAAAGTAGTTGAAAACGGTTTTTCATATAAATATTTTGAGAAAATTCAAAACTATTTGGAGACGTTAAATCACGCCCATGTTGGGTGAATTACATGGCAAGAGGGTCATTGCACTGTGTTTCATTGATTCTACTCACTTTCTAGGCTGAAACCAAAAAAAGTTGTTTCAAATTTTGGCTCACCTTCCTAGGTATTGACACGTAAATTTCTTCAGCCAAAAGGGCATTATATTCATATAAATCTACCCTGACAGTCTGGTAAAAAAAATATTGGTGAGACCGATGGTCAAAGGCCACATTTCTATGATACATATAATGGTACAGAAAAATGACCTTTTCTAACTACTATACAAAAAATTGTACGCACCGGTTTTCAAAATACACTTAGTACGTCACCATTGATCATTTATTAGAGACTTCGTCCGGCTACAATTCTGACTTCATTAATTTGACAAAATCCTTTTCCGGTTATGGATATCGAGCTAAATCCATGCTGTAGCAGTCTACATAATGGACACTATACCTAACAGAACAATTATTCTTGATTTCTGATCCATCAAAACCGTCATTGTGATTGCGATTTCGATCTCTTTGGATCTCCTCAGCACGAGTAGACAGTTCTAACATTTGCTAACTTTAGTAGAAAACTTCAAATAGCGCCCACCACGCAACGAGTAAATTGATCAGTGTTCTGTTGAAATTGTCTATAGTGTGCTCATGAATATCAAAAAAACAGAAATCCTGATCTATATCTGATGGTTTCAACAGATCACTGACGAAGAACTTCTTCTTAGATGGTTCTAATAAAGCGGATTTTTTTGTTTATTTCTCAAAATAAAAAATTAATTTTCAGCTGCTATTTTCTAGTGGTAGGTTGTTTATCTTTTGATCCTGCCTATATATGCGGCATATAGGTGTCGATACTTTACAGTCGATACCAAGTATGTAAGTGAAGTGAAACAAGTAGCAGAGAANAGTTTATTTTATTGTATTTCGAAAGTAAAAAGCATCGGCATCAAATGTCCGAGTTTGAAACCGAAAAATCCAGATTTTTATGTCCCGGTTTGCTGATTTTTACAGATAGCAACCTGATTTGTATAAATCTTTGATTACTATCTTCAACTATGTTCATACTGATGCTGTCGAGTTGAAATTTGGTACAGCTGTAGAACGCACTTGCCAATATCTGTATGTATAAGATGAAAACGTTTAAAAATATTTGTGGTTTTCATTGCAAAATATGTTCTAAAATTGAGGGCTGCAATTTAAAAATTGAATATCAGCATTAAGTGATCAGTAAATGACTACTTATATATTCAATTTTTTTTAATTTAAAATAGCACCTTTTTGATTTATGACAAAATAGTATCTCGGATCTCACCTGTTCGGGAGTCCCCCGAAATTAAACTCCTGATATATGCCAAATGGTATCTAATTTACTTTAACTTTAAGATTGAGACTGTTTTGGTTCTTGTAATACCGGGTGTTAAAATTACAATTTTTTCATACTTTCGCAATCTTAATGTTTCAATTAAAATTCGGTAATTCTGTGTCGTATAGTGTTTTGGGGTTAGCTGATTACGAAGCTGGGGTAAATTTTTCAAAATTCAAAACGATGGTTTTAACATTTAAATTCAGGCGGGCTTTAAATTAAATAGTTTAAAATTGCACCCTTATTACATAGCACACTGTAATTTTTGTAGCGCTTATTTTTCATTTTATTTGAAATAAATTAAGAGGGCTAACAATAAGTGCATGAACATACTTGTTGAAAGCATATCAGAAACTTTTGAATATAAACTGCAGTATTCGTTGCAGTGCTTTGACGATTAAATATTTAAAACTCAGTGGCGGTTCAAAACTATTAAAAATTGTATCAATTTCATAGCATGTCATAGTGTAGATGATGTATACTGCATTATTGTTGCGAGGGGGCCATTTGGCGTTGATGTCCTAAATACTTGTGAACGATCATCGACGACCACATAAAACTAATTTTTTCTACCCCTCGGGAAAAGTATTTTTGTCTGGTTAAAAGGTACCCTATGTCCTTTTCTGTATCCCTGACCAATGACAAACGTTAATGACCAATGAGACTTTTCGATTCCGGGTCCGGGTCTGTATCCGTCTGCCATGGTCTAAGTTTTTCTGTGGTCTTCTTAGATCACTTAGGCTTCTGTCTTCATTTAAAATTAATCTTTCTCACCGTCAACTACCGTCCACCATATCCACGATTCCTAAAAGGAAGAAAGTTTTCCACCCTATCCTCCTCTGTAACACGCTACTGAAGTGAAACTTCTTCAAACACACAAACATACCGGGAAAGGGGTTAAGGAATGGTTTAATGGTATTATTTGTACACTATGAATTTAAATTTTACACTGTACATGCCGGAGTTGCCTGTAACGAACGTTGCATTGAAGCGCGCTCGTTGCTCAAGCGATCCCCACTACGAACTCGACCACGTGGCCGAGTAGAGGGGGACATCCGTTGCATGATTTCGTTACATAGCAACTCGCATGAAACGAACTTACCCTACCGTGCGTAAAGAAGTTTCACTTCAAAAACCTTGTCGCATTATACATTTAACTGCACTGACTGACACTGGTGACGCCACTGCAGATACAACTTTAGACAATCTTATTATTTATGAGCCGCAATAAAACGACATTTAATACAATATTTACACTGAATGTATAATAACGACCCCAATTATTATGTTTAGGTAGATACCTATACACCATTATCACAACAGAACAAACAATATTGATTGCGGTTTATCGAAATGGCTTATCTGAAAAAGTAACCTGCCAATTATTTATTTAATTAAATACTTGCTTGATGGTTGATGTGAAGACACACTTTGTTTATATGAGCCTATCTAGTAGCAAAATGTAACTCCCGATTAGTTATACAGTTTATGAATTTTTAGGTTATTTAGAACGAAAACTAGCAAAAATGTCAAGAGTTATTTTCCTTTAATTGATTTTCTTAATCACCTTTTACACATAAGAAGGAAAAGGTTTAGTTTTTGAGAAAAACTATTTGTCAACACGAATTCTACTGAACTATTTCCTTACAATTTCAATTATTCATTATGAAAATTAGATTAATAACGTATTAATTACCTATCAAATTGTTGGAAGTTCTTAATGAAGAAATCTAAAACTATTTTTTTTTTGCAGATGCCTGGTTAGAACAAATGCTAACAATGATGGCTCCTGCAAGCAAAAACAAAACCTTGGAACAGCACATTAGCTAGATGATACAGTAGTTTCATATTAAAAGGTAAGATAATTTTATAAGGTTTCTAAAGTAATTTTGTGAAGTTGAGATGGTTGATGTATCCCACCATATCGTATCTTACGATTAAAACGTCTAATAAAATAATTTTTAATTGAAGATCACCAATATTTTGACATTGAGTGTATTTACATGTTAATGTTCGCTCCTGGTATTAGGCTCAAACGAGGGTAGATTTTTAAGTTCGCAGAATGGATGAGTAAATTTATTAATGAGAATAGTTATTATGTTCTACCAGTTAATTGACTTATTAGATACTAAGATTTATCGCAATCGGGTAATTAGACTTTAAATTATCGCCGACCAAACAACTCAATCGAGAAAAAAATGTGAAATTGGAGAAAATCGAGAGCCGCGCTTTTATAAAGTTTTGTACGAAGCAAGTAAAGTCTATTCAAACTGTGCTAGAAAAAAATGAAATCTGTCTATGAAGACTCTTACCCGCGTAAAACCACGGTTGACAAGTGATACAGTTTCTTTCAACAAAGTAGGGACTTACTTGAAGACGACCCACGGCCAGGACGACTAATCGACGTGACCATTCCGGAAATTATTTAAAAATTTGGAAAAATTAATATTCGAATATGCTCGATTAAATAAAAAACAGCTCACAGAAATGATTGAAATATCCGATACAAGCACTTTTAAAATTCTTCTGGATCATCTCGGGAACTACATTGTAAATTTAGTAACGGAGAATTATTTATATCAATACTAGCTGGGGTACCCGGCTTCGATCAAGGAGTTGATATAAGATTGTGTGGTAGTTTAATAAAAGGATAA